GGTATCACCATCGACATTGCCCTCTGGAAGTTCCAGACTCCCAAGTATGAGGTCACTGTCATTGGTAAGCTTGACTCGTCCCGATGTGTTGTGATACTGTAGCTAACACTATCTCAGATGCCCCCGGTCACCGTGACTTCATCAAGAACATGATCACTGGTACCTCCCAGGCTGACTGCGCTATCCTCATCATTGCCTCCGGTACTGGTGAGTTCGAGGCTGGTATCTCCAAGGATGGCCAGACCCGTGAGCACGCTCTGCTTGCTTTCACCCTCGGTGTCAAGCAGCTCATCGTTGCCCTCAACAAGATGGACACCTGCAAGTGGTCCGAGGATCGTTACAACGAAATTGTCAAGGAAACCTCCAACTTCATCAAGAAGGTCGGCTACAACCCCAAGGCCGTTCCCTTCGTCCCCATCTCCGGCTTCAACGGTGACAACATGCTTGAGCCCTCCCCCAACTGCCCCTGGTACAAGGGATGGGAGAAGGAGACCAAGGCCGGCAAGGTCACTGGTAAGACCCTCATCGAGGCCATCGACGCCATTGAGCCCCCCGTCCGTCCCTCCAACAAGCCCCTCCGTCTGCCCCTCCAGGATGTCTACAAGATCTCTGGTATCGGAACGGTTCCCGTCGGCCGTGTCGAGACTGGTGTCATCAAGCCCGGCATGGTCGTCACCTTCGCCCCCGCCAACGTCACCACTGAAGTCAAGTCCGTCGAGATGCACCACCAGCAGCTCCAGGAGGGTGTCCCCGGTGACAACGTCGGTTTCAACGTCAAGAACGTTTCCGTCAAGGAAGTCCGCCGTGGTAACGTCTGCGGTGACTCCAAGAACGACCCCCCTATGGGTGCTGCCTCCTTCAACGCCCAGGTCATCGTCCTCAACCACCCCGGTCAGGTCGGCGCTGGTTACGCCCCCGTCCTCGACTGCCACACTGCCCACATTGCTTGCAAGTTCGCTGAGCTGCTTGAGAAGATTGACCGCCGTACCGGCAAGTCTGTTGAGAACAACCCCAAGTTCATCAAGTCCGGTGATGCCGCCATCGTCAAGATGATTCCTTCCAAGCCCATGTGTGTCGAGTCCTTCACCGACTACCCCCCTCTTGGTCGTTTCGCCGTCCGTGACATGCGTCAGACAGTTGCAGTCGGAGTGGTGAAGAGCGTAGAAAAGTCCGCTGGTGGTACCGGTAAGGTCACCAAGGCTGCTCAGAAGGCCACCAAGAAATAAATTTTCGGTCTGGTGGATTCCGGATAAGTTTTCGCGAAGCCAGTTGAGATTGCGGTGCTGGATGTCATGGTATGTCATGGTATGACTTTTTACGACGATTAAAATTAGATTCAATCGAATGATTTTCGATGTAATTGTGTCGAGTTGTAGGATTTAATTGTAGAGTCGTGTTTCTATAAGTGATGCTACTGTTGTCAAGAAGATTTCATACTGAAGGCTATTAGCTGACTCCTAATGAAGCACACCAGATCATTTTACTGAAGGTAAGATAGCATAATACACGACTCTTCCGATTGCTTGCTAACTATATACTCTAGACGTCTGTTAGGTTTGCAGTTAGAGGCAAACCTCAGCGCAATTCCACGCAACTTATTCCGCAGTGGACAAATTCTTGGGACAGAAGTACTACGAACTATGATAGATAGTGGCTGGTGTATGCAGACTGCACATATCCTTTTAAGAACATCAACTGAGTTTGAAAGTGGGCTTCCATCCAAGCATTCGTCGCCTCATATCTCTTCTACTGTTCCTTTGCCGAGTATCTACATGGTGGGAGTTAGGAACCTGGACATTGAGTATACCATGATTATTGTTGATAGAATTTACTACTTACCTTTCTCCTGTGATTCGGAACAGTTTACCTTTCTCACTTACGGATTGAATGCGCAAAACAGCCATGCCATGTTGGATACGCACAAGTCCATCCTCCATAAACAATGCGCAAAGTAGAAGTCCACTTGTTCTTGCGTATGTGCTGATACCCTAAAGCACATGCTGCAAAGAAAAAGCAGCATAAAAATAAAGGCCGGATAACACAGCCTCATCAAGTTTAAATAAACATTTGCAACTGTAGGCATCACTGCAGCTTCGGTAAACGAGCAACGAAGGTGGTGGTGGGAGATTTGTAGTGAGGCACTGGCGAGGAAGAAGCATGTGGAGTAGATTGTAGAGTAGATTGTAGAGTAGATTGTAGAGTAGACTGTAGAGTAGATTGTAGGATGTAGAGCAGGATGTAGAGTAGGATGTAGAGTAGGATGTAGAGTAGGATGTAGAGTAGGATGTAGCGTAGGATGTAGCGTAGGATGTAGAGTAAGTTGTAGAGTAAGTTGTAGAGTAAGTTGTAGAGTAAGTTGTAGAGTAAGTTGTAGATTGTAGGACGTAGATTAGATTGTAGATTGTAGGATGTAGAGTAAGTTGTAGAGTAGGATGTAGAGTAAGTTGTAGCGTAGGATGTAGAGTAAGTTGTAGATTGTAGGATGTAGAGTAGATTGTAGCGTAGGATGTAGATCAATTGGTACCTCATACCTACCTAGGTACCTACTATTTAGGTTGCCAGGCTGTGCTCACTGTGCTGAACTGTCCATAGAATGTAAGTACCTGAATCGTGTTGTCCGCCACCAGTTTAGAATACTGTAGGAGAGAAATCAGCGAAAGTTCTCATGTTATGTTGAGGATTTAGTGCTTCCTATTCCCTTTATCCGAGTCCCGACTTGCTTGCTCAGGAATGACTACCTGGTGAGGGCCGGAACCCACTCTCGAGTATTCCCATAAAAGAGCAAATGCCTAACGGTCTTGTGTCCTGGTTGGCGTCAAGGGAGAAACATCATGTGTCTCTAGGTACTCTACAGTGTACAGAGTACCTTTTACTCCATGTCTTAGGCACATACAAAAGTCAATCCACGTGACCATTCCAAAGCCCTCACTGCCTTAGAATTCAGGCTAGCGGCCGAAGATGTCGCTCAAGTTTAAAGCCCAATTCTATGCTTAATTTCTGACTTGGATCACTTGACTGAATGCTTCAACTCATTTCAATATTTGAATTGAATGATAATTTAATTCCTCATATGACTAACTTGGACAGGAAATTACTGCTAGATGAAAGATTATATTCAATAATACCATTCCTTTTACAGTCTTTTGCTGCTGCCCTTCATGCTTTGCTTTGCGCCTTAGGTGACCTGGCAGTAATATGTCATAGTTCATAAGACCAAAAGAAGCTTCTGGTTGATTATGTGCGCGCCATCCTATATAGATTTACTATATGGGTTTCCTTGGACACATTTCTTCTAATCTCGACCTCTCTGACCCATTTATGCTCTGTGTGACTCTGTTGTTGGGCAAGCTTGTAATCCATTGCTTGTTGTTACTGGTATTCTTCCGCGTCTTTGGAAGACCAGATGATGATATGTAGTGACCATATATTTGCCTCCCGTGATAGTAGACTCTCTCCTCTTATATTCCAGGGCTGCATGTATACAGACCTATACTCAGACTCCCTACCTTAAGCCCAATAATTGTGAAATGTTCACTGTGCCGACCCAGATAGCGTTGTATCATTGTATGGTGTTTCTTGGGGTCCCCTTGGTAGTTAATGACTTTGAAGTGTCTACGGCACCAGCAGAACCCATACACTTAAATCACTATAAACCATGCTTATTGAGGAACTGGAGGGACTGTACCAGCTAAGATCAATCTATGAGCAAGCTGAGAGAAAAGAGTTCAGCCGTGGACCCGAAAAGGGCCGGATGCTATGCCTCAATACATCATAACGCATTGAGATCTTTGCCATAAATTATGGGAAGCCTTACGCAATGGCTTCTTGAACCGATGTTCTTGCATTGGACGGATTCAGCCTCGACTGATTACAATCCTAAGGGTCGATGGAACCTGATCACAAGTGACATTATGCTACTATGCAAGGCACCCGAGGCAAAGACACCCCGATTTTATGCCCAAGGCTGTTTCTAATGTCAGCATGTTTGCTCCATTTCTTTTTGACCAGAAGATGGACCTGTGATTGAGCCTTTGAGTATGGGTCGATTTGATACTTTAAATGATGTTCGCTTTCTGGTCGTTATATGAGATAAGACAGACAGACTCCTCATCATATTGCATTCTCTCCTCGTTGCAGGTGGTCAACTGAGTTCCCCTCAACACCACCCTCATCTCTCGCTCATCCCTCTACCTTCATCTCCATCTTCGGCTTGAGCTTCGTCTCTATATTCATCTCTATATTCATCTCTATCTTCGTGTCTATGTTCGTCTATCGTCGTCTCTGTCTTCACCCCTATCTTCGTTGTTTTCTTCAATATTCTGGTTTGAATTGTAGAATTGATTGTAGGTATGTCGTATTTGGTGAGAGTTTGGCGTCGACTGAAGTTGTCTTGATGGAGAGTATGCTTGCGCCAAAGGAGAGGTCTAATCTCCAGATAAATAATCTTATTAATTGTGGCTTCAATCTTGATGTAAGCTTTGGTATTCTTATTCAACTAGAGTAACGTCTGCAGTAAGATGTGAGAAGAGTAGAGATTACAGGTTTTTTGGATAAATTGTATGGTCTACACATCCACTGACTCACTGGCGAAGATGTCGACGGGCATCTCCGATGCTGGTCATTGTTGTTTATGGCGGCGACAACACAGAACAATTGCGACTGAAATAACCAAGCCAGGGATAGTAATCACAGTATTCTTCGTATCCTTCGTCATAATCTGAATCCCAGATATCGCCTTCTTAGATCTAATGGCACAAGGCGGTATTGCCAGGAAACTGGGGATAGTCGTGAACTTCTGCTAAGCAGGAGATTCTGTATTTTACTACGGTCCTTTGGAACATTAATACCTCGGTCAGGGTGGACATGATGGATTTTCCATTGCTCAGTCTAACTGGATACATCGGCGAGCTACCTTAGTAATACAAATGTCTCGGAAATCGCGATTGATCCACAATATATATCAAGATGATCACGCCGACATGATCATGCCTTTTTTGTCCTTATTTCCCTGCACCCTTAGCGATAGTCCAGGGGTTCACTGTCGTCGGTGGTTTGTGAAACGTCGTCTTCTTTGCACGTTTAGGCCTTGGGGGCAATCGCGGAGTGTTCTGGCGTTTAAGCATTGGAAGTTGACGGAGAGGGGCCGAAGGGCTCGGGGGTTTCGGTGGAACATTCCTCATCATAACATGTTCTTCAAGATCGAACTCTCCGGAATCAGTTTTGACATCAGTACCAGTAGTAGTCCCATCGTTGGCGACATCAGAGAAATGTTCGGATTTATAAGGGGGGTTGTCGTGTGATTCGGGATCTTCCTTGATTATAACATGTTCTTCAAGCTCGAACTCTCCGGAATCAGTTTCGATATCAGAGTCAGGACCGGCGTCGGTGGACTCATCATCAGAGAAATATTCGGACTGATAAGAGAAGTCGTCGTAGGGTTCAAGGTCGTCCTTGATTGTGACATATTCATCGAAGTCGAATTCTTCGGAATCAGCTTCGGAATCAGCTTCGGTATCAGCTTTGGTATCAGCGTCAGGACCTTCGTCACTGGACTCGTCATCACAGAAATACCCAGACTGATAAGGGGCGTCGTCACGCGATTCAGGCTCGTTCTTGATCATAACATGTTCTTCAAGATCGAGTACCCTGGAACCAGTTCTGAGATCAGCATCAGAGTTATCATCACTAGAGTCGTCAACAGTCTGAGCCAACTCAAAGGACCGAGCTGAAGGTATGTCCTTCAAAGCTATCCCCTGCTTCTGGTTAAATTTGAAGCGTTTAACCTCAGCCACAGCGAGCCGGACTTCCGCAGTGGCTTGTCCAACTTGAGTGGTTTGCTTTCGATACTCCTGTCGCGCTCGACTGACCCTCATCTGCAATTTGGCCTTCATTTTCTGAAGTGGATCGCTAGCTCGCAAGATCTTCCGTTGGTCGTTCCGTACTCTGTTCTTCGCAGGCACAATATGCTTCGGTTTCGGGTTGAGCAAAGCGTTCCTCGCCCGGTACCCTCTCATTTGCACCTTTTTACGACATCGCCTAGCCGCCTTGACATGTTCAGGCAGCTCAGCATCATGTTTATGTAATTCATCATAATGAATCCGGCGGTATTCTCTCATATACTCTCTGTTTCTAGCTAGATACCGTGCGTACGCCTCTTCTGACTCGCGATACTTCGCACGTTTGAGCCTCGTGGCAAGTTTATTTCGCGTCCGGCGCAATGCTACTCGAAGCTCACTGTCTTCGAGCGTCTCCGTACTAGTTGCCTGAATGATTTCATCGAGCGCAGCATCGCTGATAGTCCAGTGGTCACGTTGCCCTTCCGTGAGACATGTATGGGAACAGGCACCGTGCCAATTAAAGACAGAGGTTGGGAATCCAAAAGGGCAGGCATTCCGGAGTTCGTAGGAGACCCTTGACATATATCCACCGAGTAAGCTGCAGTAGATTGCTTCGGCTAGGATACATAGTCTCCGGGTATGGTTGGCATCTTTGCTGCTGAGGCCTTGTGGCATCTGGAAAAGAGTGCAAAACTTCACAATCGGCTTGGGTTGCGCAAGTAACAAGTTTCGGTGATATGATGTTTCCCTATGAATAATTAGCACATGATGTGATGATTGAATAGGTGTGACATACCCTGGACGAACAGGTCTCTCGTGTGTTTCACGACGCGAAGCCAAGCCTCCGAACTGAGATGTTGCTGACCCGACGTAAACATGTCGGTCGGTGCCAGTCTTAGGATAAATGAGCTTGATGTAAACGCCCATATGAAGCGTCTCGACCCACTCAAGGGCCAACAAGCTGTCATAGCTGGGGGGATTTTCATCGTTCAGTAAGTCTCGGACTGACGGGAGAGTGTACTTATAGATATTCATCAGAATATCATCATCAGACCATTCATTGTGGAGCCTTTGCTTCCACGCCTTCGTCATAATACAACCCTTAATGGCTGTAAGAGTGAGTTGAACCCGAGCTATGAACTTGGGATGCTCCATTAGGCGACGGAAAGTGCGTTTGTGAAAATGAACGACAGAATGAGAGAAAACGACAGAATAAGAGAAAACGACAGAATAAGAGAAAACGACAGAATAAGAGAGAGAAGACGAGAGGACGAGGGAGAGAGAAGACGAGAGGACGAGGGAGTTGAAGATAGAGAGAGGACGGAGAGAGGACGGAGAGAGGGGGGAGTGAGAGACGGGGATAGTGGGAGGGGGACTCAGTTGAACCTGCCATGACTGAAAGGGAAGGAGAGACCTCAGCAAGTTGTATTGTTCCAACGAGGCAAGAATGCAATCAAGACCTAAGCTCCTGAGTCTATGTACCTGACATGAACCTGCTGGACAACTCATTAGCGTGGTCTGTATTACAAAAGGGTGTATATTTTGCACCAATAACATAGTATGTATCGAGTGTAAAGGAAACTCATGTGGGCTCGAAGTAGAGATGGTAGACGCCATGAGACGAAACTGGAGCAGATGAAGAACACCGTGACTATAGGTCGTCCGGCCCAGTCCAGGGTGCTTGATGCGGTAAGTCTCGGTGCGTGTAGAACGATTCAAAAGCAAGCGCTTCTTCTGGTTAAAGTACTACACCAATGAAACCATCGAATAGAGTTGCAGATAGTAAAGACTGGTGCGTAGATCATCGTACGCTTATTCTCCAAAGACGAGATGCAGCGACCATACATCATACACACTAGCAGCCTAAGTACTAAAAGCCAACAACAATGTACGGGAATCCTCACTTCTTTAAATGAAAACTCGCCGAGCCAGGGGTTGCCCGTCCTGCCGGATAAGAGATTGAGCGATCCGTCTCGTTTTGCTTCATCTGTTCTATTAGATCAAGCCGTCGGAAAATCACTGAAACAAGCAGTCGTCGCCACAGTCGAATGATACTACTGCAAACGATATCGTCTATATCAATTGTGTCTTTTAGTGCGACGCATAACCTCTCGCAGTCCACATCAGGGCGTAGTTGGCATTCGAAAGATGGCGTACACATGTCTGTATGATATTTGGCCATGGTAACCGACTCTTCCTAAGAAGGCGTACAAGGGTTTTCGGTTACCTTGCCTAACTTGCCCGGACAGATCGTAGCAACGCTCGAGTTGTAAGAAGAGCTCGTTTCCCAGACCAAGCACCGAAATAGGGTCGGCAAAGGTATCATGATGAGCTTGCCTATTACTATAGAAGTAAAGTAAGCAGCTTATAGAAAGGCGGACATGAATGGCGCGCTGAGCTGTGATTGATTGGAGCTGTTAGATTTCACTCTTTGTAGCAAAAACCTTGGAAGAAGGCCAAGACAGCAAACTATCTCACCTAGAGATATGACGCATTTTGTTTTGTGTCTTGAAGAGGAACAAAGAAATAATGAGAAGAGGATGCTCATGCTAGCATCACTCGGGACCACTCCGAAAGATAGCGAGAGGAAGTGCCATGTCTCGATACGCAACGGAGCATGGAGGTTTGTGTTCTGGACTGGGTTGGGCTAGGGTGAGCAGACGGTTGTCAAGGTAGCTTGGCTTGATGTAAACGTGCTGGGACAATCACGAATAGATATTCACATCATTAGCTCAGTTGATGTCATATCAAGCACAACAAGAACCCATACCACTCTACTCAAATCAAATCTGAAAATAAGACATGCTCCTTCAGTCTGTAACAGCGAATCAACATTCCACAACCTCGTCATAGATTGTTCCCCTGATAAGGAGTGTCCAGAGTAGAAGCGAGAACTGTTTGTTGACAAGATCATGTAGCATTGGGAGAACCATGTGAAGTAGCGATTGGCAAGATCTGGGGATAAAAAGAACGTCAATGTCAGCAATCCCTCACTGTAATGTCGATTATGAGCTTTATTTACCTGATCATGGGCTAAGGCGAATTTAAAGACGCTTCATGACTTCAATGAGCTTGGTAATACTCGATTCGGAGCCTCCGAGGCCGTAAAAGTTGAACCTGACCAGATCTTGCCAGTAGCGTCTATCTACTGTTGCCATGTAACGACAAATGGTGAATGTATCGCAAGGAAGGAATCATACCGCGTAATCTTTTTCTTGTTTAAGGATTGGTTGATGTTATCAACATAGAGGTTAGCTAGGTAGTACATCGTATGTGAATGTGATCAAAGCTCGATTGGTGCCTTAAACCTGAGGCTACGGGCCGTGCCAGCCATAGCGCGCCATGATTACTGGTGTAACCGAATACAGTCAATTGTGTGACATTATTTCCTTAGAACTTGCTTTGCAAATACGCTATACGTTATCCGTATACGTTATCCTAAATAATAAGTAGAAGCTTAATGGAGCAGCTACGATGCATTCATGTTATACTTGGCCACAATGTTGACTGGTATGGATGCTGATACGTTGCATTGGGAACAATTTTTCTGTACTCCACTTGATAGACATTCGACCAGAATTCCCTCCAGATGGTACCCAAAAGTAGTGGTCAGTGACCGGTAAGAGTCGGTGCCGTATACCACGATTTTGGGATTATGTTTTCGGGACTCCATCAACTGTTCTCAAAGATAGTCATGGCCGAGAACACACGAATGGCCAAAATCCCAAACCGCAACCCCCGGACATGTATGGGGTTGCGGTAGTCAGAGAACAAGTTCCTGAATCATGGGCACTCGATGGTCGTGACCTGTCCTATAACTCGTCCGCCGTACTTGACGATAGTCATGACCGAGGGCACATGAATGTCCAAGACATCCTGCCAAACCGACAACACTGGGACATGTGGTTGGGATATGGTGTAGGAAGGGACATTGTTCAGAGCATCGATGACCTTCAAACTCTGTCATTGCCTAGAGATATTGGAAGAAGACAAGTAGAATTTGTTAGCACGGAACCGTTTACTCAATGGGGATAGCGACTGACTGTGCATAGCTTTAGACGACGGCACGTCTCATTCAATTGGCATGGGACACGGAAAAGGTGAGCTGGACATATATTGTCCAGCAGTTCCCCATCATATTCGGCCGCAGGGTGGAAGGACGCTGGCGACGCCTGTGGTGTAGGGTCGGTCGGAGGCTGAGAGGGCGCCGAGGGTATCTGTAATGCAATGACAGCCGGAGGGTGGGACGGAGCAGGCAAAACTGGCGCGGGGCTGGGCGAGTGAATAGATGTCTCTGTATCCTCTTCCGGGGCCGGCTTTACACGAGCATGGTAATAAGGTAAACCATCTCCCTCATCTCCAAGGTAGTCCAGATCGAGGACCCATCCATCTTCAAATTCTGGCTTCAAAGAACATGTTCTGATAGCCATTTGTGAAGGAGGATGGACCTGCTGTGCATGCTCGATGACATATTGGAGTGGCGGACATTGCTTGATTGCGAGCAGACGGCGACCACTGATTCCGGCTGCTGGGTTGTGCTGTGACACGAGTCCAGCCGCTTCGTACTCATTGTAGCCGAATCCATCATCATCGTCGTCGACGTCGTCGTTAATGGCTGGGCCTTGGTCGGGGACATTTCCGAAAACAGGATCCTCAGGTTTTGGGGCCCGGGCGTCCAGTTGCATGTCCTTGTTCCTCAGGTAGTGTAGCAAAGCAGCTCTTAACATGTCTCGCTGCTTTGCAAGCACTTCATGGCCATCATTAACTCGCATTAGTTCCTGATATAAGGCTTCCGTCGCTTCCTGACGCGAACAGTCTCCACACCTTTTCATCTTGTCCTGACATTTCGCTCCTAACTGTCCTTTAGGGAAACAATAACCATGCAGGACAGTATTACAATGATCGCATCGGTACAGCTTGTTATAGTTGGCCGATCGATCAAAGCTTTTCATGATCAAGGGAGCGAGATTAGGGATTGTACTGGAACAGCTAATACGTTCAGCAATCTGTCGAGCTCGAGTAGAAGAATCAGGATTAGGGTGGTCTTGGTAAATCTCCATCCCTTGGCCAAAGAAGCTCGAGTCCATACACTCAGTCAACCACATATTAACCAGCGTTCCTACCTGTAACATGTTTGGGTGGGAACGCTGGATAAATGGGAGAATCTTCTCTACCATCCCGCGCGAGCCACACTCTCCGACGTTTTTGAACTGGGGTGACGACCTGCCATCCCATGGATAGCAGTCAACGGTGAAGTTGATATCACGATGGATTGAGAGGCCCATCATACTCTGAGAAAAGTTGTTCTGAAGCTCCAGCTTATCGGCAGTCCAGGGGAAGCAGAACACAAGACACAATGATTTAAGAAAGGGAAAGTCTCTCAATCGTGTAACACGAAACCAGTCCAGAGATAGGACAGGAACATCAACTATCTCAATAACCCGAACCTTTTTTGCAAACTTCAACATGTTTAAGAATGCAATAAGGGGGTAAAGGGTAGAGTCTTTACCAGGTGGCAATACCTGATGAGGATAGAGCCCGTGACCCTCCCAGCGGAAGACTGTCGGTCTGTAGGAAGTGATTTTGTTTTGACTGAGCGGCCTGGTGGCATAGGAGCCACCTTTGCTATAGACAGGTTCGCATAAGCACCCTGTTTTTCCATTGAACACAACCACCATGGCACTGACGATATCAGCTATCCTGTGACATGTTTGGGATAGACTGATTCGGTCTCTATGACTGATGGTAGTAAAGATTTCCTCAGCGACAGCAGGCACGTTCAGTAAAAGGATCTCAAGTTTTGCCTGAGGGCGTTCAACCGGAATACCCAGAGGAGCAACCTATATGACGGTCATACTATTAGTAACCTCTCATATATCGTTGAGTTTGTTCAGAAACAGGGACTTTAGGGATTGAGGCCAAAACGATACCTGGTCATCGGCCATTGCAGAAAGCTCAGTCGATTTGGAAAGACTATAGAGAGTAAGTATCCAGCAAGGTCATGTAATTTGTCCATAGAAGTTTCACATACAGATATTTGGATGCTTTTTAAACGAAGAACGTCCTAGGAGATGTAGAATAGAACCAGGAAGGTGCAGAATAGATTCAGCTCAGAGAACGAGGATGACCAGTAGAAGCTGGATACTGAGAGCGTTGTGTGTGAGGCCAGGGTAATGGCAATTCAACACAAATGTAAACAAAGAATCAGATGTGGGAGAAAGAGATTGACGAGGGGCTAGGGCAGCAGACCTGGAGGGTAGGTAGAGAGAGTGAATGACTCAGGCACTTGATGTGTTTGTCTCCTCTCTCACGCTCGTCTCTCATTTTCCAACTTCCCTTCTCCCTTCTCGTCTCCGACATATGCCATTCTATTGCTCGTCATCATCAGCGTCTGTAATTCATTTTATCGTCATCATATCTCTGTCTGCCGATTTTATTCTTCAATATTCTGTCATCAACGTCCATCATTCATAATGGATAGGTACGCAAGAGTTCCTATGAGAACAGACTTACTAACTCTTCAAAGAATTCCTGAGGACCTTCCATACTGCATCGAAGGAGAAACCCAGGTGGGGGAAGATTTCTACCTCAGATATGGCACAATCGAACTCCGAACGGTCCTGGGAAACCTCAACCGCATAGGGATTGCAAACCTCCGGAAGTCACAAGAGGTCATTATCTCCAACCATGTCCGCGGGAATGACCTCGAGATTACCGGAGGAGCGGCTCAAGGACGCACCACAGCTGTTCTAGTTAGTCTCGTGGCTGTTGTTGGTGAGCTAGTCAACGCTTCAGATGTCGAGGGCCCTCATGCCCTCTACATCGCACCAACTCATGAACAAACGACGAAGGCATTTGAAATTATCAGTATCCTGGCCAGGGCAATTGGACTTGGTGTTTGTTGTTTAACCACTACTAACACAAATACAGAGGACGCGGATTTTGTGTCCCTACGAGACTACAATATCGTGGTCTCAACACCGGGGCTGGTCCTCAAGATGGAGGGCAAGTCCCGGTTCTTGAGTATGGTGAGATATCTGGTAGTTGACGATGCTCACATGTCTGTCGTCGGCCGAGGTGGAGCAGCAGTCCATACACGAAATGTGCTAAAAACCATGCAAGATGACCACCACCCGGACCTTGTCACCACAATCATATCAAATGAAAGACTTGGTCCTTTTATCCGGTACCTAAGGTCTCAAACACATGTTACTTTGCAGATCTTAGGTACCCGGGCGATGCTTAGCTTGTCATACGTGCCCATAACAGGCAACAGGTCAGAAACAATACAGCGGATCGTGTCAGAATGCTGTCAGAATGAGAAGGTCGTCATCTTTGTCGCTCGCATCAAGCAAGGCGAGTCGCTTGTAAGCTCGCTCCAAGGCGCCGGACTATCCGCTCGCATCACTCACAATGGAAAAGCCATGAACGAGCGGTTGATGATAATACAAGAATTCAATGAGGGGAGATGCCGGGTCCTCATTACATGTCGCATTGGACTGTCGGGTATATCTCTACAAGCTGTCAACAGTGTCATTCTAGATAGACCCCCTGAGGGTTGGGATGATTTCCTCGCCGCAGTCCATAAGGCTGGTCTCGTTCAGGATGGTAAAGCTTACCTGATATTGGACAGAGATAATGAGCCTGAGGTTGAGCGATTCCAAGCTATACTGGCCAACTTCCATCGGATCAAGAATGGGGCAGCAGCTTCTCAAGTGATCAAGAAATCCACCCAACCTACCTTTGGGCCAAGCGTCACGACTACCAGACTTATTGTTCGAGGCTTTCCATGGTCGAAAACATGTTCACAGATCATGGAAATGTTTCCTTTTGAATACAGACCACTCAGTATTGACCTCCCGACAAATTCTGTTCGTCCCGACACTGAGTCATTGACTGGTGTCCGGTAAGTATTTCCTACCTATTATTAAGTTAGTAATACTCATTTGTTATCAGGAGGATTTACTTTCAATTCCATACAGCCGAGAGAGCGCAACAGTTCAAGGAGCGCTACAACGGTGAACTGTTCGAAGGCGGAACCTTACTCCTTGATTTCTGTAGTGATCAGTCTTCTCGAGCGCCGCGTCGTCCTGCCATCCCTCAACCACATACACAGTCGCACGAGCCAGGCATACATGTCCGTCCTGCTGAGTCTCGACCACATCCTCAAAACCACCGTCGCGCTAGTCGGTCGCCTTATCCGCGTACACAGGGTGCCCTGGGGCGTCATTCTGTCAGTCATCCGAGATGAGCTGTCCAGAGATGGAATCAATAAAGTTCGAATTTTACTGATACGTTTCATTGACATCTTTTCCTGATTACGTGAACGCTTGTATTTCTAATGGAACTGAATTATTCGAGTTCGAGATTAACATAGACTTGACTGCAAAGCAACATTGCGAGCATCTCGCAACGGACTGTTGTGAGAAGACAACGTCGCCTGTAACTGTAGTTGACAGCATTATTGTTTGTCGATCTTGTTTCTGCTTGAGTAGCGTATCCCTAAGCACCGAGTAGAAGACATCAGCTGATATTAATAGCCTAAGTAAAATGGTCGGTTCATCACCTTGCCTGGAAGATGTATTCACTCCATTGTCCAATTTGACTACATATGACCGTCATATGGGCGCGGGTGTATGTGGTCATAAACGCCGAAATTCGCCTGCTCAAGCCAGGAAGCACCACTCACTCATACAGTGACATCGAAAGACGCATACCTATCATAACCAAAGAGTATGTTTACTCGCTGAAGTAATCTACTGCAGCTTACTTCGTGGTTTGAGTCTTCTCGCCACTTCAGAATGCCTACCCGTTTGGACTCCAGAGTTCTGCGTTTACTCAAATTTGAGGGCATATCCTGAACAGTATGTTATTATCAATGCAAACAAAATCAGGGGAAAGGAAGCAGCCAAGACCCCTGAGCAAAAGGCTATAGAGATGGCCTGTCGAACAGCCCATGCAAAGGTCAGGCGGGCAAAGATTCCTCCAAATCCAAACAGAGTGCCTAAGAACTTCAAACGATGTACCGACAGAAAGGCCAAAGAAAGGCTGACCCATTACATAACTTAAAGCTCAGCACCAGATGAAGGTCTTGAGCCTGACAGCATGCAATAAGGCACAGTCTGACCAGGCCAAACTCCAACTTGCCACTGCGCAAGTAGAACGATACAAATTCAATCAGAGAAACGGAAGCATAACGAAGGAGATTCCTTCAGCAGAATTTCTTGAATTGGCTAAGCCATTCATAGAAGATGAGCCCACTGGTGTCGACGATAGACACATGGAAAACAATCGAGCCTTATGTATTAGAACAACCACGTCAAGCTCTCAGATGGAGCAATCAAGACCAATGACCAAGATCAGTCAGAACCTTGATAGATAGTTACCTGCTTAAGAGGAGAGGCACTCAAATGATGGAATTCAGAGCTAGACGGCAAAGATGAACACACTTGAAGTGTCCCAAAACCAGTCAAAGAGCTGAGATGTTCCAAGTGAATGTACCCGAAAACTAGTTCATGAATACTTCTATACTATCCTGACTGGACAATCGAAATCATCAGCAGTTCGAAAAACTATGTATCTCTCACTACTGTAATGAACATTTTCTTCATGGATGTCAAAGAATATCCCTTACCGAATCTATATAGTCTATCCTGGCAGATGATGATGGCTTGCTTGACTACAGTGAACTACGGGATCTCCTGTCCATCGTACACGCAGCAATCCCAATCCCGTATTGCTACTTGCCCAGCAGCCTTGTTGAGTAGAGTCTTTGACGTTGATCAGGACGGATACTGTCTTGGCTTTATTGTTGTCAATTTGCTTGTATTCTATCTCATGCGAGGCTACTAAACAAGGAGTAATTATTCAATACCAGCGATTGCTGGGTCACATTCATTTAGCTACCTGGCTATCTGAACCGAGCAATCTCAAACACATGACAGCAACACTTCCTCAGAGCGACCTCAGAAAGGAAGCAACCGAGCCAGACGGGTGTGTAGAATTTCCGTCGCTGTTTCTGTTGTATAAGATCAAAGCAGTAGCCAATCAACCTCCAGGAAAAAAAAAGCATTTGCAGAATGTAGGTAGCCTGGCTCAAATGGATATCTAACCCATCTATCCGGATGGTCTGTAAAGTTGATAGATAAAGGAAAAATGGAGAAAGCAGAGCCCGTTGGGCCATCGAGCTTATGAAAGCCGGTCGACGGCGAAAGATCATTATTCTCGCCCACAAGGTCTCGTCCACAAGGTCGTCGTAGATGGAGCCAAAGTTTGATCATATCACTTGTAATAGAGTCAACAAAAGGGAGCACCAGGTCTCGAAACACCCCACGGATGGATGGCATGTACAAAACGGGAACAAGGTAGTATATGCAAAAGTCGGGAAATGGAAAGAAAAAAGATAAAACTCCAGTGTCATGCATCTTGAGGACGTTATCACATATCAAAATTATCATCAACGTTGAAGATGCCCGGCTCGCCGCCATCGTTGTTCTTGTGGGTGCCACTCATGCGCTGGTCGGTGGAGCTGCCGTGGTGGTGTGCCCGCTGCCACGTCTCCGGATCCTCGTCCATGTGGTCGCTCGGGTCGTGCTTCATGTGGTGATCGATCGAGTTCTCGTTGACAAAGGTAAAGCCTTTGAAGTTGGCCTGCATTCCTGGCGACAGTGGCGTGGAGGCGGGCATGAATCCATTAGCCAACGCAGCGGCGCGATCGTTCAGCGAGGCACTGTTGTCAAGAGCGTTGGTGAACTCGGGATCAAAGTTGGACGTGTCGGTGTCAGACTTGAGCTTGGGCTTGAAGGGCGGGATGACATCCTTGCGGGCGAGCGCCTCCCAGTCGATGTCATGGAAGAAGGGATGCGCCATCAGCTCCTTCGCATCTCCCTTGGCGCCCAGGCGGTGCTTGGGGTTTCGGTTCAGCAAGCCCTTGACGAAATTCCTACCCTCCGTGCTGAGTGCGTCCCGAGGGAAACGGACCTTGCCGAACGCGATGTTCTTGTACATCTGCTGGGTATCCTCGGCGTAGAATGGGCTCCACCCGCAGCACATCTCGAAGACTAGAACACCAAGCGACCAAAAGTCGACCATCTTCGTGTACCCCTGCTCATCAAGCAAGACCTCGGGAGCAAGATATTCAGTGGTTCCGCAGAACGTGTTTGTGGTATCATTCTGCGTCAGATTGGCTTTGGACAGACCAAAGTCGCACAGCGCAATATGTCCATTAGCGTCCAGCAGGATGTTCTCGGGCTTTAGGTCACGATAAACAATATCGTGGTCGTGTAGGTGTTGGAGAGCTAGAATCAACTCGGCAATGTAAAACTTGGCCCGCGCCTCCTGGAAGCGCCCTTCCTTTTGCAGGTGCCAGAACAGTTCGCCACCCGACATGTAATCTGTCACGAGATACAGATCGGTGGGTGTTTGGAAGGAGAATTTCAGGCCGACAATGAAGGGAGAAGCCGCCATGGCAGTCCGAACCAGGATATTGCGTTCGCCTAGCGTATGAGCGACCTCTTTCTTCTGAATGATCACCTTCTTCGACAGAACCTTCATGGCGTAGATCCGGTGCGTATCTTTCTTCATAACTTGATACACCTGTCCAAATGTCCCCTTGCCGATGAGCTTCAGAATCTGAAAGTCATTCGGTCCCACCTGCTTCTTCTCCGTCTTCTCGAAGAGCATCTCCAGGTGAATCTCGCCGGAGATCTGAGAATCGCCAGCTCCACGCGCCGACAATGGGAACCAGCCCTCCAACCGACTGTGATCCTCCTTGAGGTTCAGGGATAGCCGTACGTGCCCAAGGAACGCTTCCTGGTTGTTGCGATCATAAACCGAAACATCGATCTCCGACTCTTCTCCAAGAACGTCACTGTTCTGGTTAGCCAGTAATACAAGCGACCGGGCGGGGAAACATACAAAGTGGCCTCGTGGTTCCAATGCGGATCTGTGACGGGCGATTTCCCCCTGAAATCGTGACCCTCCATTGCGCTGTTGTTGCTGCTCTGGCGGCTCTTCATCGGAATCGCCATCGGCCGCCCCGCCTCGCGCTCGGACTTCTCCTTTTCCTTCTCTCGGCGCTCGATGGACGCTTCTTCCTCATCCTGGGCACTCTTGGAGATGACCTCGTTCCACTCGAACACGCATACCACATACGGATCAAAGCCTGGTCTGAGACCGCGGGCTTCGGTAATCTTGACGTAGAGTTTTCCCTTGAGGGAGCCGACAGAAGGGCCAGATTGTTGCTCTGCCTTCGGAGTCTCTGATGGGGAAGGAAACGCGTCGTTGAGTTTGCCCGCAATTTCGTCAGCGGATGTGGCCATCTCGTCGGACTGTGGCTGCTCCGAGGAAGGGTGCGCCTCAGATGATGATGTAACAGGCGGGTTCTTAGCAGTTTCGGACCCTTCGTTGGACATGGCGCGAGGGGTAAGAGGAGGTGTGTTCTTTGGATGAGAAAGATCAGACACATTTCCAGTTAGCTTCGCGAGGTTCTCAGATGACATGGAGACATGTGGTTTCTCATGATCAAGTAGGGGAGCTTCCGGCGGACTAAAGTAATCCGCAGAAGCAGGGAGTGAAGGGTTGGAGAAGTGAGAGGCAAGGACGGGGTCGTCGGAGATGCTAGAGACTGGATGGGAGGTATGACGGCGTGCTTGAGATTCAGGTGGATTGGTGGCTGTGCCCGGAGCGAGATAGCTCTTCAAAGCAGTGAAAATAGAACCCATGCCCTTCTCGGGGGCCGAAGATGCCAACGCGGGTTCCTCCGACTCTTTCTGCAAAAGGGAACAGGCGGAAGAATAAGGGGGAGTGGGCAGATTCGTAGGAGGCAGAGACCCCGGTGAGATTTCTTGCGTATCAAATTTCTTGTCTGGGCAATCCGAAGAGGCATTCATGTCCGAAGCCTCGTCGCGCTCCATCATGACAAACGATCCCGCAGAAGATGAATTATGTCCAGAGCCTTGACCATCCCGTGTATCTGTGGCGTGTGCACCCGGCTGGATACCGTTGGTGGAAGCAAGAGTCTCAGAAGAAGGGAGCCATGAATTGGAAGGGCGGTTGTCATCACTAGGAGAAAGACCAACCTGGAAATAACTGTGCATGATGGATGGTTGGCGTTTGTCTGAGAGATCTGGCTTGGGAGTTGCAATGCCAGAAGGTGTCGACCGATTGGAACCAATTGTATCTTGGTTATCGTCCTCCTGCAGATGGTTGCTATAGAAAGTTAGAAGCCGCGCACCAGAAGCTGTCAAAAGAACATCGAGTTTTCAGGACTAAAAGGGCATATGACGATGACAACTAGCAACAGTCGGGCAGGCAGCTC